TTTAAAGACCCATTGCTCAATGATCGTTTTGGGTATACGACAGAAGCCTTCCTCAATCTACAAATTTAAGAACCCATAGAAAATGCCATTTTGAAAACTAAAACCAGGAAGACATCTTTACTAAAGAAATAGTGTGATTTTTCTTTTAATATAGCTTGCAGGACTATAGACACCACAGTTTCATTGGAATATATATATATATATATATATATATATATATATATATATATATATATATATATATATATATATATATATATATATATATATATCGATGACAATAGAAAGTACTTGAGTCATCCACTCTATACCATTTATTTTTATGACTCAATTTTGTAGATGTAGAATAGACAAAGTAGTTTTTGCCTAATCAACAATATTCATATTCCTTTCGCATATGCAACGTAGTATGATTCAGTTCTTTCTGATATTTGATTTGATCTGGCTTTAAAAAATAGGCAGATCAATAAATGGTTTTCTTCCATTACGTATTTGTTTGTGTTTTAAAACATGTGCATTTTCTATCGTATAATGGAGGTATATACTTTGCGTACAAGTTGGAATTCACTGCAATCTGTACTAAACCCAGATATGTCCTAGCATAAGTCACCAGCTGATCTTGATCTATAGTTTGTAATCAGTACAACAAACCATATAGACCCTGATCTACTGACGCATATTGTAGGCGGCAGATTTGGCTGTCATCGTCGGAGACTAGAGACGAAAATATGTTAAGCTATTTTGTCACCCTTGGCTGCATACGAGAATATAACCTGCCTTCGCTGCAACTCTGAACAAAAGTTTATGGCAAAGTTGACTCAACGTGAAATTTCATGTTGATTGAACAATCCAATAAAGTTTTCTCCTCGAAACTCAGTCACTTACCGATAAATGGAAGTACGATATGAAAGAGATAGTTGTACATTAGAAACGAAGAATGCAGAAAGCCACAGGGTTAAAACGGGGGAAAGGGTATTTTCGCCTGTGGCTTGTGACGATGAACAGAGTATATTTTGATTGCAGTAGCACTTGACTTATACGCAAATAAGACGGTAGATTAGTCCAATCAAAACAAAACGTGTCAAACCAGTTAAAGTCAGCTTGATCATTGTAGAATATGTTTCCTTTTGCCCAGGCGGCTTTGTTCCACATATCTATGACAAGAACCATTGTTTTTGGCCTGTTAGGCTGAAATAAAAGCACAAAGAAATATACAGAAACCGATTTTTTCGAAATCCTCCGATGGTTTTATTTTGACCACAGCTGCTATCGAAGCAGATCACAGTAACAATGGCAGTTATATTTTGCAATCATCTGATATCGTACAATCAATATATTTTTATACTATTCAGTTAATGTAATAATATAACACGTATATCGATATAATTCGACAAGAGACCTGGTTGACAAACACTGTGATCTACAATTCTGCAAACATCTGCTGAAATCAGAAAAGGTCATTTCACTACTAGTTATCCTGCATTCTAATTAAAACATTTTTTGAAAGATAACATTAAAATTAGTCAGCGTAAAGCATCCTGGGAAATGTTTGAAAAATGTATGGTGATATACTGGTGATTGCTCTGATGAATTTAAGAGTTACTACTTTTATTCATAAGCGATGATTTTTCTCTGCAACTATTCCTGTATAATACCATTTTAATATCAAGCTTCCCAAAGTTAATCGTTTCGCTATAGAGTAACCATGAATATATCCGTAAGATACTATTAAGGTAAACCGGCACTATTATCAAACAAGCAAACTAGTTAACGTTAGCAAATTAAGAGAATATCCAATACTAGATATTGTTGGCGGCACACACACATGCACACATAAACACACAAAACACACACACATCCATACATCCATGCATGCATGCATGCATGCATGCATGCATGCATGCATACATACATACATACATACATACATACATACATACATACATACATACATACATGCATACATACACACACATACACACATACATACATACATACATACATACATACATACATACATACATACATACATACATACATACATACATACATACATACATACATACATACATACATACATACATACATACATACATACATACATACATACATACATACATACATACATACATACATACATACATACATACATATATACATACATACATACATACTCAAGGACACAATGCTACAAAGGACGATTTCAAAAACGAGACAAGAACACAATGCACAAATTAACTAGTATGATTTTTGATCGCATGTATTTACAAAAACAATACAAAGGAATATAATAAGCAAGGCTTTTTAAAGCGTGGACTAATTTCACGACAGCTTTTGCACTAATGTTTGTCACTTTCTGATTTGTACATACGATGTTTCCTGCCCAATACGATCTTACTGATCTAGCGGGATATCATAAATCACACTCAGGAGAGAGAGAGAGAGAGAGAGAGAGAGAGAGAGAGAGAGAGAGAGAGAGAGAGAGAGAGAGAGAGAGAGAGAGAGCCAAATAATCCTCAAATTTTAAATAATTGTAAGAATTTCTACATATATGTACTATTAGTGAGTACTAATATGAGATCTATTTTGATCATCGTATAATTGACAGATAACAAGTTGGTATTCATCCTCTTTATTTTTTTCTTTCCCTAAGATTAGCTTTTTATTTCGTTTCCTTCATTTTAACATATAAAGTTTCAAAGTGTATAGAATGGAATTAAATTCAGATTTTTTCTCTATGATCAACGGTAATGATCACTCTAATGTAAGGAAAAATTCAAACTTATGTTTGAGGTCTTTATTAATTACAATGACATTGAGGCAAAAACGGAACTCCAATTAGAATGAAATACGACAGAATCAGACATTTTCGTTTGTTAAAATTTTGCTTTGTTATGTTTGAAACTAATTCTATGGGGACGAAATACCATCGATATATTCATAACAGACCAGGTTTGTGTCAAAAATTTGTGGAATTTCTGAATTCACGAAAAAAAAAAGAAATGTAAGCCACAACTGAAATACCGAGTTTCGTTGAGTTGCTGTGTAAAACTGAAGGAAAAAAATGTTGAAATAAATTCCAAATTTGGATGTTACGAAATATCTCTAAACCAGCTTTTAACATTAGAAACTCAATTTGTATTATTACTTCCCAATCCTATAACGATTACTCACTGACTATGCGAAGAATCTGTCGGTACACTTTGCCTATAGTGTGTGCAATTTTAATATGGTTGGTATTATAACATGTGAACATATTACATTATGTGATTCTGATTGGTTCAAATAAGCACATGAAATTATTCTGCAGTATTCTCTTTAATGACTGGCTGCGATCGGGGGCAAAACATAATTGGTATCTTATGTTCAGCTTTGTCACAATGAACGAAATTATGCATTCTGGACATATTTCAACTCGTTTTATGAATTCAGTATTAAATCATTACCCATATAAGGTCATCTATATCTGAAGAAATACCTAATGATGGCCCTTTTATGTCTTAGGGCATGTACTTATTGACACTTATTTGAAATCATCTAGTTTCTCCATATAAAAACATGATATGACACCTTGACATATAATAATCGTGTACAACATTTTCTATGTACTTGTGTCTTATATTTACGGTTTAGAAACACCTTCATCAACCCCAAATATATAAAAACAAGAACCATATCATAAAACATATGACAGGACTGAAAACAAAACAAAATAGTTCAATATCAAACAAAAAATTCACCCAAAGTATGTATTATCTGCATTATATATTAAAATGTTAGAAAATGCAAATTAAGAAAAAAATCTCATTATTTTTTAGTCAGGATTGTGTTTTTAATATCTTGTTTAAAACATATTAATAACAAAAGCCTAACTAATTGCATGTCATTTTCCACTGTCTATAATCCTTACAATTTATCAAACTGACTTTATACGCTGTAAACATGTAATTTGTTTTGCTAGATTTATTAGATCTTCTAAACTAGTTAACCCTAAACAAATATGATTAACTGACATTTTTTCATCACGAAGACAGGTCATAAAAAAGAAAGTATTCTTAGAGGCTTTTTGTATTGCATTTGCTAGTTTTATGTGAATCCATCAAAATGCTATTACTATAAATTCACATTACATATTGAGCCTTGGTGTTCCAATGTACCTTTTATGCTCAAGTCCCAATTAGTTCAAATGCAATATCTTGCTGCCATATTTGGATTTAGAGGTATTTACTAAATCTTCTTTCTTTTGTTGGATAAGATGAATCTGAACAGAAAGACATTATATATGCAAAATCTCCAAGAGGGTTGGGCCCCAAATTTATGTTCGAGGTTTCAGTTATTCCAGTTTTGCGTGGTCGCAGTCGAGACTTAAAGTAGGACTAAGTCATCATCACTAGCCAAGATTCTGATATGTTAACTGTATCAAGAGTCGTGAAGATATTTATGTGCTTTGGGTCTGTGAATTTCATTCGATGAGGCCGTAAGCCTCAAATGAGCACAGCATCCAAAACCTTTGCCACATCCTCCATACATATGTGATTCAGGTTTGAGGTTTTGAGCTCAATCTCGCTATCAAAGACTAGCTGAGAGACAGATGACTTTAAATTCGCCATGCAGATGGATGTGCAGTTCTTTTAGTGCATTTACAACACACTAAAAAGTGAATAAAAATACCATTTTGTAATTGGATAACGTGACTCATAAAGTGTGCAGACATATGTTTGGTGAGTACTTGGTGGAGATGCACTGATGTACCGTGTGTGTGTGTGTGTGTGTAATTTTTAACGTAGCTATAACAATTTCTCAGTCATATCGCTACAATGTCTGCAGTGTGGCAGTTTGTAGTGATGTCTAGCACTGTGACATCAAGCCTCAGATATGTAGCATGATGTCCCACCCAGTCACATTATCCTGATACCAGGCCGACCAGTCCTAACATTAATCTCTTAATGCTGAACACCAAGCGAGGAAGCTGTTAGTACTATTTTTATAAATCTTTTGTATGACTCAGCCTGGGTTCGAACCCACGACCTCCGTATCCAAGGCGGACGCTGTAAACCACTAGGCCACCGAACTGATTTACCGTTGACTAATAAACAATCCTGCAGTTCAGAGTACTGATACATAGAACATGTTATATATCCCATGTAATATTCTTCCAATGCTGTCAGAATGTCTGATGGCAAGTCAACCGCTACGTATGTTTTCTAATGTTCTCTACATTTTTTGCCAAACGCTCTATTCTCTACAGATCAAACAACCATTAGCCTCCACCCATGCTCAAAAGCACTGAACAAATTTCCTTTAAACATCAATAGAAAAAATTACTCGTGCATTATAATAATGAATGTGACTGATTTATTGATACTGCTGTCGAGACTAGTACAAACCATAAAATGATACCGTGCTGTGGAATAAAATATTCACAGCCATCTTCTACATTTAGAGACATCGGCAAATTTTTGTATTAAGACTTTTTATGTCTGAAGAAGAGGCCTTGATTACACTCTTTGCTAAATTGCTAGCATTATCGTTGTCAATTTGTCGACGTAAGATTTAATCGGTACCTTGATAGCACGATTATGGTCAAGTCTATTGAGATCACCCGGTGAAGTTTTACTAAGGGTTCCAAGTCTGATATGTGCCAATTAACGCCTACATCATAAACTGTAAATGTTTCCATTACAAAGTCAACATCGAATTTATATTGACATGAACATGTATACAAAATGGCATTTATGAATTGATTAAGCAGACAAAAAGTGTGTAACGGTAGATAGGGTATACTTTCAGGGGATGTACTAATGTGGTGTTCACTTCGATGTACGGAGCACTAATATCCAGAACCTTATAAATATTTTTGTATGTCTAAAACAAGAACAGAAGGAGCCAACGAGTTACAGTATGATATGCACTGTGATCCCCAGAGAGTTCCATTATAAATGAAATAGTAATGAAATCCAACAGCACATATATTATATAATGGTATATACATAATTTTCGGCTGTGTTTCGACACAGACAAGGACTTTTTGGGAGTTAGAAGAAAATATTTCACAAAGACACAGAATGTATGCACTAAATATTCACATCTGAGCACAGAGAAACTTCCGAAGTAATGACATGATCAAAACTAAGGAAAAAGAACATGAGATATTTGCCTTCCGCATTGCGATGATTTCAGGTCAGATAAGTACTCGTCTAGAGCGGTGCATTATCTTTCGCTTCTGATTATTACATCCAGGATGAAATTTCAACCGTAAAAAACTCATATATGAATGCATTTTCATTACCAGAAAAAAATACTGGAATTTTTGTACTCTAGATATTGGAGTTTCATGACATTACCGTTGAACGTCTGTACTCGATTATTACAGAGCTGCAGGCTGAGATACAATAGTAGAGTTACAAACATGCTTTCATTGTTCTAAAATGTTCTTGCAAAGTTTATCTTGTTTGTCTATGAACGTTGCATTCAGCATTGTTATCGTACTCTTTAATATGTTATTAGTAGTGTGGTAAAAGCACTTTAAGGATTTCTTCTCATTACTATATCATTATAGAGGAAACTAGCAAGACTGTTTCGAGATCATTACAGTAGATTCTCCAGCCATATTCTGCAATTAGCAACGCACAGAATTGATGCGTACGCAAGTTAGCTGAATCTCCTTCACTCAATTAATTCTGTTATACTACCACTGAAATCCGTTACACCGTGTCCAATGACGTTTTATCTTCCTTTCGAAAGCAACATTACTCTTCTTGTTGCCAAGTAGGTTTTAGCTGAATAAATATTATTTTTTAGAACTGTGCTTAGCCATTTAGATAAAAAAGTTGATAAAGGGAACTTACTTGGATGCTTCCAAATGTAACATTGATTCCAGGAAACTGTCAAAAATTAATATCACAGCTTGAGCAAGTGAAAGGCTTTTCATGGATATTGTTCACGTTTGAACTTGAAAGATGCAATAGTGTAGATCTCATGTATCAGAGATGTCATAGAAACGTCGAAAACAGTTGAAGTCTTGCGTTTTAATTTAAATCAGCACCGTACTCAACAGGTCGTTGAATATTCATTATCGGAAAAAGAAAAAAGAATTGAATAATACTGAATCCGAAATTCTTCGAGTAGGTTTGTGATGATAGCCATGATTAAAAAACTTAGTGTTGATTATTCAGTATTGAGCATCATTGAGTTTACGGTTTATTCTGCTTTTATTGTTTATTACTTGACTTCTGACGCCATGAATATTGGTGTGAAGTATTTATTGCAGACAGTTCATGATCATCGATCGATTAAAATATATCTAATTTATACCAATATTTAAGTCGCGTTAGTAAAACTCCTACGTAAAATGAAAAAGTGTAATGAATATGCTTAAATGTCTTTGCAAATCGCATAGTGATTGATTTCTTGAGAAATTTCACCAAGTGTGAAAGACATATTCTCGTCTGGACGCTATGCACACGATAATAGTATTTATATTGGACACTCACCGGATTCAAGTGGATTTTCCTTGCACAAGGGGATGTATCTTTTACAAAAGAGACCAGTCTCTGTACATTCAACGTTTAATGTCTTTATTGTATAAAAATCGAAGCAGCTGCGATACCTAAGAAAAAGTAAACTGAGGTAAAGAGGAATAAATTCACTTCTGTACTCGGGTTTGAATAATGGATGATAAAACGTGCCCGAAGTACCGGGATCCGGAAATAGTATTTGACTACAATGTAACAGGTAAGATCAGTCAAATCGAAGTTAATGACACAAACAAAAATTACATACGTTTGCATACGTTTCAACCTAATATTGGACTCAAATATTTCCTGACTGGTATTACATAAAAACAACAAAATTTTCTTTCTTCATCAAGCTTATTGACGATCTATTTGGCCAGGCAATTACTTTTTTTAAAAATGATTTTGCTTATATTTTGTCTGTCTTTCTTTCTCTCATACACACAACGTTTTCCGATAACTGCATTCATGGGAGAGTGGATTTTTTTCTCTTACTTTTTTAACAGACCAGTAAGTGACTCTTTCTTCGTAGACCATACTTACTGAATAGATGCAATATATATCCAAGCAAATTTTAGGCATAACAGAATAACAGTACTTGAAGGGACTCGATTTAATACAGAAAACTCTTTATTTTTGATGCATTGAACTTTAAGGTGATAATTTAAGCATATATTTTAAACAAAACTGTCTCTGTTTGCCTGCCCCCCCCCTCTCTCTCTCTCTCTCTCTCTCTCACACACACACACACACACACACACACACACACTGCTCGTTACTACTTACGGTATTCTCAAATTATCCCTAGCGACAAAAGCGACCATTTTACCATTTCCTAAAATCCAAACGTGTGCTATCATTTTTGAATAATTTTTAACTGGTAGCAGTAAACCATTTCCAATATTTTATAAGTGGACTATATTCTAATATTCCTAACTATGAAAGTAGTTCCAGGCTTTGTGTGCAGTGTTGAAATTTTAGGTATTTTGTTGTGCGATACGAAATCACAAATTGAAAATTTGTATTTCCCGCTAGATCAGCTATGTAAGATTAAATGGGCTCGTAATATAATAATATTTGTAACATTCCCTATTAATTTGTGACAGATTCAACAATGTTGTAAATCGAAAGTTAATTAGTTCATCTATCTTGAATAATAAAAACACGATATTCATATAATTTAAGCCTTAACAAGATTCCTCACTATTGACGTACAGGTACAGTGAAAAAGTACCGTGGTAAGTACCACGGGAAAAAATATACCGCGTTAAATCGGTATACAAATAATACCGTGCACATCTTAAATCCTGCGAATACATGGTTCCAAAAATAAAATATGTTATGCATGTATATTTTTATTAGTATCCCAAGTTACCTGACATATATTCTTCGTGATAGCTATAGCATGCCAAATACAGACGAACTCCCTTATTATTTGTCTTAGGCAATCTACATCAGCAACGTTCCACCGTTTCCATTTATCATCAAGCCAGTCCTCAGTTGGACCCAGTACCGGATTTACCATTGTGCTTAGATGTACTTAAACATAGGACCCCTGTTGGCCAGGATGGCATGTTCTTGGCAAAAAGATATAAATTTTATGATGAATTTTTCAAAAGTCTGTGGCTCTTTTAACTACTCCTAAATTTCATGAGTTTATATGCCTGACAACGAGTTTTGGCCTACCGGGCAATCATCCTTCAGGGCCCAAGTAAGGGCCACATAACTTAACTAGCACAGTGCCTCATTTGTCCTAAATCCAGCATTTCTTGGACCGACATAGAACCCAAGTAACTAATATTATTATTATTATTATTATTATTATTATTATTATTATTATTATTATTATTATTATTATTATTATTGTTATTATTATTATTATTATTATTATTATTATTATTATTATTATTATTATTATTATTATTATTATTATTATTAATATTAATATTGTTGATACAGTTCTTGTCCATTATCCCGTTATACCATTCTCTTAACATTTCTCCTTAAGAAACTCTATGTATAACTCTACCGGGATATAATTTCTTTAGCATATATTGTAGATGGAATGAGGTAAAAAATATGTTGGTTATCGATGAACAGACACAATAATCCGCTTGTTTATTATTGTTACCTATTTTTTATTTTTATATACATTGTTGTACATACGCCCTATCGAGTCAAATATAAACAGCAAAACATTGTTCCTTACATATTGTGTTTAATGTATGCTTTGTGTGTATGCAAATTCCAATTTCGACAATTGTCATAGGTGGTGGCACAACGACATCTTTTATATTAATATTAAAACCCCAGTCATCTCTAGCTAATAGCCTCTGAAAAGCTGCTGGAGTTTTAAAAAAAAGTATTCATACATAATTACAGCATTTTCATCTTTTCCACTTCATTAATATCATTATACAGCGCGCAAAGCATTTCTGGGTCTCCCAAAAGTCGATTGGTTCCGCACAATCGTAATTTCTGCTTTGATTCACCGCGAAAGCAATTTAAACTTTCCGGTTGCCATGGAATTTGTAGCAGCACATGTGTAATATTGGAACA